GAAGTGAAGGTTCAGGAAGTCCTGAGACACGCGTCAGTGATCCAGGCCAAGCCAAATGTCACATCTTCTGAGTCTCAGTCCAGAATGGCTTACTGATGATTTCCAGCAAACGTTTACTTGGTTTACATTGATCCAAGCTGCCCTGTGTGCACTGTAACTGGAGGTAACAGGCTCTGAAGCACCCACAGGAAAAGAAAGCTCCATGCTATGTGACTTTCCTTGTTTCTGGACATTCATTCATTCATTCATTCTTCTAACCATACTTACTGAGTACCTCCCAGGTTCTAAGTCCCAGAGATGAAGCTGTGAACAGAAAGAAAAAATCCTGGGCTCAGCAAGCTTGCCTTCTAATGAAGGGAACAAGAAAGACAATACAAAGATAGCTGCCAGGTGAGGATACCTGCTCTGAGGAAGGATCTGGTGGGGTCAAGGGAGTGGACGGTGAGCAAGACGTTGTCCTGTAGAGGGCAGTGTGTGAGGCTTTATAGTGAGTCCCCTTCATACAGAATGAGCTCTGTTCTGAGAGTGCATTCATAGGTCCAATTTGTTCATAAGTTCAGCAAAGTTAGCCCAGGTACCCGACTAACACAATTGGCTATATAGTACTGTACTGTAATAGGTTTATGGTACTTTTCACACAAATATATGTACATAGAAAACAAGTACAGAAAATAAAACATTTTCAATTTTACAGTACAGTATCTTGAGGGCTTCCCAGGTGGTACTAGTGGTAAAGAACCCCCCTGCCAATGCAGGAGATATAAAGAGACGTGAGTTTGATCCCTGGGTCAGGAAGGTCCCCTGGAGGAGGATATAGCAACCCACTGCTGGAGAATCCCCACGGACAGAGGAGCCTGGTGGCTGCAGTCCACGGGGTCACAAAGAGTCAGATGTGACTGAAGCTGCCGAGCGTGCACGCATGGTACCTTGAAAAGCACAGTAGTGCAGCACAACAGCTGACACCAGGGGCTGGCACGCACGTCCTTCGAAAGTTTGCAACTTGAAGGTTGGTATGTAGGGGGCTCACTGTATTAGGAGGCACCTGAAGACACCAAGGAAGGAGACATAAGGCTACCTGGGGGAGAGGGTTCCACTTAGAGGCAGAAGACACAGCTGGTCAGGGAGAGACAGTGTGACCTGGGGAGGGGAGAGAAGGAAGGCAGAGGACACTCCGTTGCAAGGACCAGATTGTGTGTGTGCACGTGGGGGGACAACACATGGTACGTTATCCAGTTGGCGCCTTTTGATAGTGAAACGTGCTGCTTGGAATCACCCCAGGACAGACGTAAACGATGGGACCCTGGACAGGCTGGGGTGTGTGGCCATCTGCTCTGAAGGTCAGCGTGAGGCACCTGCCCCTGCTGCGGGTGCCTGAGGGGCTGTCATCCTGACAACAGGCTGAGGAGGGGTGAGGGCAGAGGCCAGAGGAGTCAGGGTCGTTGCAGTGATCCAGGTGGGAGATGGGGGGCTGGGAGCAGGCAGGGCCATGGGGGGCTGGCGTGGCTGGATCTCAGATATGTGAGCATGGGAGGCGGATGGGATTTCCCGGCAGGTTGGATGGAAGGCAGGAGAGAAAAGAAGTCAGGGATGATTTCATGCCTGGGCAACTGGAAAGACACTTGCTTCTACTGAGTCACCGGGAGACTGTCCAAAAACCAGGCTTGAGGAGAAATGAAGAGGTTAGTTTTCTCCAATACAACTCACTGAATGTTTGTATCCCCTCTAAACTTCTATGTTGAAACCTGATCCCAAATGCACCAGTATTGGGGGCCTCTGGGGAGTGATTAGGTTGTGGGGGTGAAGCCCTCATACACAGGATTGGTACCCAAAGAGCTCTCTCATCAATTCCATCATGTAAGGTTACAGCAAAAAGACAACTGTCTGTGAACCAGGAAGCAGGCTTCTACCAGACACTGAATCTTCCCAGTGTCTTGATCTTGGGCTTCCTGCTTCCAGAACTGGTGAGCAATAAATTTCTATTGTTTGTGAACCACCCAGTCTGTGCATTCTGTTACAGCAGCCTGAATGGGTTAAGACCTCCATATTATCTCTGATGTAACATCCAAGTGAAGGTGTCAGAGGTAAGAGAAATAGGAGTTATGAAGATATATGTTTGGTATAAGATGTCCCTGGAGACTGCATGATGCCCCTGGGTGAGTGAGTCTGGACAGGAAGACAGAAAGGACTGGCCTGGGGCCCTGCTGAGTTTAGAGGTTGAGATGTTCACGATACCCCAGAAAAAAAGACTGAGAAGGAAGAGAGAGGTGAGCAGGAAGCAGGGGTGTGTGCTAAAGTCAAGTGAGGAAAACATTTCTGGTCTCTATCCTAACCTATTCCCTCTGGTAGGGTTCTCACCAGGACAGTGACTGGGGATGGGATTTAGTTGGAGGAGGAGGAAAGCATTGAGAAGTCAGTCCTGAATCCCAAGCTGTTGGCCATCCTGTGAGGACAGGGACTGCTGTGTCATGAGCAGTGTGTGCATCTGCGAAAGGGAGGCTGGAATAAGAGAAAGTGCCCTGAGCTGTCCTCTCCTGGAGCAGCAGGAGCTGTGGGTGTGGAAGTGCCATCTGGTCAACCAGGGGAAAACATTCCTTGTTCTGTGGACCAATAGCACATCCTATGATCTGACCCCAGCTGTGCCTATAAGGTGTGTGTGCCAGAGGATGAGAGTTTGTGAGGAAGAGGGCAGCCAGACATCAGGCAGTTTGAAGTGACTGGGGCATCACTACGCTTGAGTCTCTGGAATAAAAGAGCAGAGGGGAGATGGTGTCAGGCCTCTAAGGGGTGGGGCTAAGAAACAGCACTGGGAATTACAGACAAGCCCTAAAACCAGGAACTTAATGGAATAAGGAGAAAGTGGGATCTGAATTCAAGGATCAGGTCCAGTTTTGCCGCATCCTATTCTGACTTTTCTGTACCTTTGTCCCTTTGTCTCTAGAATTGGGTATATTCCTGCCTCATGTGAGTTTCTGTAAGAGTTAAATGGAATAAATGATACTAAAATCAATCTATGTAGACTTAATTCATTATAAAAATAGAATCATTCATCTTCTTTCTTTGTAATTTGTGTTACCCCTTTCTGTTTAAATTGAAACAGATGTGGGGGCTTGTTTTCTAGGGAATAAAACAAGGAACAGGGGAAGTACTCTTTGTTGGTGAATAATGGAATCTTGGGGCTTCCCTGCTGGCTCAGAGGTAAAGAATCCACCTGCCAATATAAGACACATGGGTTTGGTCCCTCAGTTGGGTAGATCCCCTGGAGAAGGGAATAGCAACCCACTCCAGTATTCTTGCCTGGAGAATTCCATGGACAGAGGAGCCTGGTGGGCTACAGTCTGTCGGGTTGCAAAAGAGTTGGACACAACTTAGCAACTAAACAGGGGCTTCCCGGGTAGCTCAGCTGGTAAAGAATCCACTTGTAATGCGGGAGACCTCGGTTTGATCCCTGGGTTGGGAAGACCTGCTGGAGAAGGGATAGGCATTCCAGCATTCTTGGGCTTTCCTGGTGGCTCAGATGGTAAAGAATCTGCCTGCAATAAGAGAGAGCTGGGTTCGATCCCCGGGTTGGGAAGATCCTCTGGAGATGGGAACAGCTACCCATTCCAGTATTCTGGCCTAGAGAACTCCAGGGACAGAGGAGCCTGGCAGGGTACAGTCCATGGTGTTGCAAAGAGTTGGACACGACTGAATGACTTTCAATTTTCACTAGTGACTAAACAACAACAATGGACTCTCAGGGTGGAGAAAAGGAAAGTGATTGCAACTCTAATAAGACCACTTCCAGTGCATCCGTGACAGTGGTGGTGAAGACGTAATATTAATATTTAGCTTCATACTGTCAACAGGTTCCCTTATACATCGTCTCTAAAGAAGACCAGCTCTAATCTGTCCTTCCTGAGAGCCTGTGATGGAAATAATGGTGGGGCCTGATGCCAGAACAGCTTGCTGAACAGACGTCTAGTTCATTCCCCCATGCTCAAGAGGGTCTCCTAGATGCCCCTGACTCCCTCCTCTAACAACACCATCTGAGGCTGCCTGTGAGAGGTGATGGTCCTGGGAGCCCCAACCTTGCCCTCCGTCCCCAGGGGCACAGCCTATGTAGTGAGCATCCCGTGGAGCACATGCCTGAATGCAGGGACAGAGTGTGGTGATGGACCCCCCAAATGTCTGCTCCCCGAGGTGAGACCACGTCCACATCACGTGTTAGAGGATGGCAGACAGCCCTCTATGGACTCTGCCTTGACTCTGGACTAGCCCACCCGAGGATCCTGTGTCTTCCGTCTGACACCAGCAGGGTCCCTGAGGAATGTGATAACCAAGGCAAGGTTCTGACTCAGGAAGGCTCAGATAGAGCCATCAGCCTGCTCCCAATCCGGGGGGGTGGGAGTGGGGGGCGGTGTCCAGGACAGGGGAGTTTCCCTGTGGGGAGAAGGGAGGGGCCTCAGCCTCGGGCCTTCAATCTAAGGCCTGAACAGGAAGGTAGAAGGTCCGGCTCACCGCAGTGGGCTCCCAGGATGGTGGCGGAAGCAGGAGTTCTCTGACTAGCACCTGTCTTGCCCATGGCAGTGCCCTGAGATCTAGACTTCCCCAGGAGCCCGGGGCTCTCCTTTGGGCCTTCTTGCTGGAGCAGTATGATGGTCACAGCCTGCAGCGTGTCCCTACCCCCCACCCCCGGGGCTGGCCTTGTAACCCCTTTTGGTGCAAAATTCTGCATGGCCTCACGCACATGTGCGGTGATCTCCTGGGTCAAATCAGCTCTTCCAGCGCCAGAGGCAACAAGTATGTCTCCCGCACCTTCCCCCTTCCCTCTTTGTGGCTCCCAGCAAGAGCCTGGCTCAGGGCACAGGAAGCAGCCAGGAACCTGAAACCCTGAGCCTCAACGTGCTGAGGCTCCACTGTCACAGCTGCGAGCAGGTGCTGCTGGTGGTGCTAGGGGGAAGGGAGATTTTAGGCTCCACGATGTCAGAAATCGGCTTTCGTGGCTCCCTCTGCCCGTTCACCTGTATAACCCTGAAGGCTGCGGCTTTGCTCCGCGCAGGGTAAAGCCCAGTCGGGGAAGACTGGTCCCCTTCCCAGACGAGACCACCAGGGGGCAGTGGAGCACACTCGCAGGCTGCCTGCGGCCGCCGCACCGAGAGCCGGCAAGGTCCGCAGAAGCTTCTGGTGCCGGGGAGACAGGCCCGAGGGCCCTAGGGTCATAAACCATCCTCAGGGCACCCAGGCCCCTTCCGAGAATGGGAAAGCTGTGCATGGGCTTCACATCAACCAGCTTCTTCTTCTTTTTTAAAACAGAAAGTGGACAACCTTAATAGCCTCATCAGCATTTCGTTCTGGATTGTCACTCTTTACTTCCTTGGCCTAAAAAGCCCAGAGAGGTTGTGTAACTAAACTGAAGACACACAGCTATCAAAACTCGATTTTTCACGGTGGGATTTTGATCACCCCCACCCCCACCCCCAGGACCTACCTACCACCTTGCTCCTCAACGATGAATCCAGTCCTCACCTGGGAAGCTGATGTCCAGGCCCCACTTTAGAACTCGTTCAGAAGCTCTTGGAGGGAGGAGATGCTTGCCCGGAATCTGCATTTTTAGCGAGCTCTCCAGGTGATTCTGATAAACATGCTAAATGGAGTCCTCCCCTTGTGGGGGAGCCTCACCTGAATCATATTTTAAAGAAAGTGAATTTTTCCTTTGTCTCCCTGCACCCCTTCCATACTCATGGGGGTTTGCTGTCACCCTGCTCTGGCCAGCCCCTGCTGGGGAGTGCTCACCTCTGAAGTCCCCCTTCATCACCATCACCTGCGTGTCTCCACCACTCCGGGTGTCACCCCTCAAACCTGACGAAGTTGACGCTGAGCTGCCTTTTACCACCACCCCTTCCAAAGTGACAACAACTTAATCTGATTAGAAAAGTCAATTCTAGTGGCATTAAGATAGAAAGTGGCCCCAACAGCTGCTCAATCCCAGTTATCGTGGGAACTGAAAGCTGAGCTTTCTGGACAGAACATCACAGTCTGGGCTCTTAATCCGCAAGTGCTGGATTACATACAATACAGTAAGGATGGGAATTTCAGGGATTCATGGAGAGATGCTTTCTGAGAGATAGAGATACCTAGTAGAGGACTGGAGTTTGAAGAGTGTTTTACCTGCATCACGGAGGCAACTGTTGTTGAAAAAGGCCTGTATTGGTTTTTTTCATTATAGAAATAATATATATACATGTAAGATAGCCATGCAATATAGAAAATTATAAAAAGAAAATTAAATGCACAACAATTGCTGACACAATTGTTGGGTTAAGACATGAGACATGTGTCCAGACATCTTTCTGTCAATTTGGACATGAACAGCGGCTGGACCACAGGGAGTAAGTACTATGTGCTAGACCTTGTGCTACTTGCTTTCCATACATTTCATCATCTGTAATAATCCTCATGTGACCCAGGGACTGGAGGGGATATTTTTTTTAATGGATAAAGAAACTTGAAATAGAGGAGTTGACTCATCTGTCTAGGGTGAACAGGAACCTAACCCAGGCTTCCTTCACACCTGAGTTCAAGCACTTACTCCTGATCTTGCTACCTGTGTAGATATATGCACACCCTGTAGACACACGCATAGAACTTGAACAACCCACAGACATGCACATAGAACTTTCACAGCCTGGCAGATACATACATGGGTCTCACACACACACCCTGATGACACACCCTCACCACAGACATGCAGAACTCACTTGCAGATACACCACACATGCACACACAGAACTCACACATCCCACATACATGTCCCACAGGCAAACGCACACATCCTACAGACACACACATACCACTCACAGCAAACATAGAGAATTTACACACAGACACCCTAGAAACATATAGAACTCCCGTACATGCACCCAAGACACACACACATGCACACACTGCAGACACACATAGATTGCTCACACACAGAACTCACACGAATGAACACACTGCAGATAGTCACAGAAAACTCACACACACTGTAGATGTACACACAGGACTCACACACATTGCAGACATACAAGCCACACAGACACACCCAAACCAGACATAGTTACATCCACACAGAGATACATAGGCCCACACATACACACACAAGCTCCTCTGAAATCTAATTTTTTTGTATTCAGTATGTATATGGAGCTTTTCTTTTAAAAGCCTGCATAGTATTCTATTACAGAGATCTATCATGTTTATGATTGAAATCTGTTGATGATGTTCTATGGTTAGGAAAAATATTTGAATTTCAATAAGATGAAGATAATGAAAAATTACTGAGTTTTCATCATGTCAGATTACAATGCATTTTATCATGTAATCCTCACAATACGCTTGTCTATAGCTCCATTTTACTGATGCAAAACTGAGGTTCAGAGTGTTTTAAAGCTTCTAAGAGACAAAGCCAGGAACCAGAGATAGAAAATGTCTCCATACTTACCCACAGTATGAGCTGGCTTCCAACGACGAGCACCTTGTTCATACGTGTCTCTGTTTGAACAGCTCCTGGAGGAGGGCTTCAAGTCCAGGTTATATGCATTCTCCATTTTTTATGTATTGCTGAATTGACCTTCAGAGGTGGACTCCCTGAGCCCATGTGCAAATACCCTATTTCCCTTAAATTTTGCCAGCACTGGGCATTTTTAATCTTTATCTTTGTATCTAAGTATCAGATTAATCCTTTTAGGAAATCAGATTTTCACTGACATGGTCAGAGAAGGATTTGTGGTGGAGGAAGAATGTGTGGACCCTGAGAGATGAGTAGGCTTGCATTAGTAAGGATATTTTTCTTTGGAGACAGGGGCAGAGGAATTAGGCAATATCCTAGGGTTCTTAGTGGTCTTAGCCCTTAGGTCTTGGGGCTTCTAACATGTTGAGTTGCACATAGAAGATCTTGAAGCTGCCTTTGTCAGAGTGATACCTTGCCCTGAGATTGTGTGCTTGGGAGTTTGCATCCTGTAGACAGAGACCCAGTGAGTCTTAGGAGGTGGGGGAGAGTGTGTGAAGGTGCCAGCCCCCTCCTCTGTGATGCTACCCAGATGTCTCCTGGTCAATGGAGGGTGACATAAGAGGCCACCTCAAAGGCACGCTGGTGGTGATTTTGGCCTGTTTATTCTCAACTGCTTCTCAGGCCCTTCTTGAACAGCAGGCGTTACCAGAGCGGGTCCATGGTAAAGTAGTGAAGTGAAAGTCACTCAGTCACATGTGACTTTTTGCTACTCCATGGACTGTAGACCGACAAGCTCCTCCGTCCATGGAATTCTCCAGGCAAGATTATTGAAGTGGGTTGCCATTTCCTTCTCCAGGGGATCTTTCTGACCCAGGGATTGAAACCTGGGTCTCCTGCATTGCAGGCAGATTCTTTACCATCTGGTCATCAGGGAGGCCCAGGGTAGCTCCATGGTACCAAATGCTTTTGCCTTCCAGCCTGAGCTGTTTGCTCCTGGAAGATTGCATCGTGTTGTGTGTTTCAGGCCTGGATCTCACACAGGTAGCTGCTTGTTGCCTTACAAAATGGTGCCTTTCCAGGTTCACGTTTTATTAGACCATGATAGAATGTCAGGCAGCTCTGCAGGGACAGCCGGGTCTGTGTCATATCCCCAGCCTGCCCCTTGCCTCCACGTCAGAAGCTGCCCTGCTAGTCCTGCCCTGTCTCCATCGCCACCTGCCAACCTCTTTAGCTCAGCTCAGTGCCCCTCGAGCTGGGCAGTGCTGTTAGCTCCTGGAGTTCACTCAGCCGTTGCAGGTTTGACACACGATCAAAATTGCAGCTATTCCCACCTCAAATACTACCTTCTTGGGCTTTATTTGCAGCTTTTTCTTTTAGCTTTTTCTTGCCCGAGAGATTGGATTTCCTGCTTCTGTTGTAAATTTACTTCTAAGTGGGTTCTTTTGCTGTGGTGGAAGAGATAGCAAGAAGGGAAAGTAGTTGCCACCGGCGAACCATCCCATCATAGTCCAGGTGGCCTGAAGATGTGTTTCTGCACAGAGAGGCTTTTGTCCCCAAGAGCTGGAGCCCCAGGAAAGAAGCTGAATTAGACAGCAGAGAGAACATGCTTTCTTTCTCCAAGAGTCTGAAAAAACATTGACTACAGAGAAGTAGGCAGCAGGAGTACATCAGAATAGCTGATTTTCTTTTCTTCTTGGACTTGTCTCAGGAGGGGCTTTGTAGCCCTTGACTCCAGAGGGTGATCCAGCCCGGGTACTGAGAGCAGCTCCGTCTGCTACACTTCTGGCCACACCAGCAGTTCCACAGAAGGAGGTCCCGGAAAGCATGGAGTTCAGTATTTTTGGCAAATACAGTAGACTCTGTTCATTCACATGAATGTTATTCCCAATTTCTTTTTTACATGCTTTGTATTATTTTATCATACATTTTGCTTTAACATATATTGCAATACAATTCATTGCTATTACTTTTGCTTTAGATAGTAATCTATTACAGCTATTAAAATAAGAATAAAGAAACATTTATCATACTGGTATTAATTCCATTTTCATCCCCTTCATTTTATTTTGTGTAGAGCCCAGTTTCTGGCTGGTATCATATTCTTTCCGCTTTTATGACTTTCTTTGATCTTTCTTTAAATATAGGTGTTTAACAATGAGTGTTTCTTTTCTTTTTTTTTTTTTTTGAGAAAATATGTCTCATTCCTTTTTGAAAGACTTCTTTTTTTTTTTTTTTGCTGAGTATTATGAATTGACAGTTTGTTTTTCAATACTTTAAAATGCCATTTCATTTTCTTCTGGTTTCTGATGAGAAATCTATTTTATAGTTCTTATCTTTGTTTCTCCTTAGGTAAGATGTCATATTTCTCTGGTGGTCTTCAAGACTTTTCTTTGTCTTTGGTTTTTGGCAGTTTTGATGTGGCATGCCTAGTTTTGTTTTATTTTTCCCGTTTCATGTCATATCATTACTTTTGGAAAATTCTCAACTCTTACTCTTCCGTGTATCTTTTTCTGTCGCGTTCTCTCTTACGCCTTCTCTGTGCTCTGTTTTATTTTTATGTGCTTGTTTGTGTTTTTACTCCTTCTCCTCTTCCCCCTCTCCCTCCTCTCTACCATTCCCACTTCTACAGTAGTACTGCTGCTACTACTGTTAGTATTACTGTTTTATTCTCTTTCTGTTCCAATTTGGGTAGTTTCTATTACCCTATCTTCATGTTCACTTATTCTTTCCTCAGCTATGTCAAGTCTGCTGGTGAGTCTTTCTTCATGTCTGTTCATGTGTTTGCATTTCTAGCATTTCCATTTGACTGTTTTTTTTTTTTTTTTCTCTCAGTTCCATTTCTCTGCTAAAGTTACGTGTGCTCAGTTGCTCAGTCATGTCCAACTCTTTGGGATCCCATGGATTGTAGCCCACCAGACTCCTCTGTCCATGGAATTTTCTAAGCAAGAATACTGGAGTGGGTTGCTGTTTCCCATTCTGGGGGATCTTTTTAACCCAGGGATGGAATTCACCTCTCCTGAGTCTCCTGCATTGGCAGGTGCATTCTTTACCACTGCACCATCTGGGAAGCTGCTTCAAAATTATCCATCTGATATTGCTTGTTATCCATATCCATATCCATCAAGATAACTATTAATTATGAATTTAAATTCCCTTTCTGATGGTTCCAACATCTGTGTCATGTGTATTTCTGCTTCTGTTGGTTGCATTGTCTCTTGATGGTGTTTTTTCCCTTTGCTTTTTGGAGAAAAGATATATATTGTTGAAAGACATATCTTGTGTAGGACACTTGAGGCTGAGATAAATAGTTTGAACGCTTGAACATG